CCTCGTGGTGCACCCTGGAAACTCCCCACCTTCTGTGGGGAGGCTAACAACCGGCCGGGGGGGGAATTCCGCGGGGCTATACCGGACAGGGCCACCCATACCGGGCAGGCCCGCGGAACGACGGTGGATCCGTAGGGTCGTGGTAGGGCGGGTCTCCAAGACCTGCGGCGCGGCAGGGCAGGTCAACCCGGCCACCCTGTCGGGCAATCGACGAGGATGTGTGGCAGCACAATAACTTGCAGTGGACTTCGGTCGGTGTATGGCGGCCTCTATGGCTCGCGGCGCGGCAGGGTCGGTCAACACGGCCACCCTGTCGGGCAAAGGACGAGGACGTGCAGCAGCACGGTAAACTGCTGAGGACTTCGGTCGGAGGACGGCGACCTGCAAGGTTGCGCACAACAGTCGGGGACCTCACCCTGCTTCGAAAAGGCGGTTTCCGGTGTCCGACAACACCGGAACAGACGCATGATGGCAAGCTTCAAAACGACACTACCCCAGGAGGGTACCACCAGCTCCGCTGGTGGAGAATCCCTCCCCGAGGTCACTTTGGCCTCGGGCTGCCCCTCGTATTCTGGGGGGGGCAAAGAATGCTTTGATTGCACGACGACTATGGCTATGAACACGGAAACGGATGCACGCGATTTGGAAGTGACGGGGAGTGAAATGGAGGAGGATGTGGAGATGGAAACGGAGTTGATGTTGAGTGAGGCGTCGACATCAATGTCCGAGACCAGCCGCCGGGCTAGTCCGATGCCCAGGAAGAGGAGAGGACGACCGCCTACCACGGGCCACTATGTCGGCCTGGCCAAGGCCAAGTTAGCCCTCGTTGAGGCCGAACGAGAAGAGGAGCGGAGAAGAGCGGAGGCGGAGGTAGTTGCTGCCTCTCGCGTGGCCCGGGCCAGAGCCCAAGCCCACAGGCTGTCGGAGTCGGTCACTGAGGACGAGGAGTTTCAGGCGGCTGACTCCCTCAGCCGGAGTATTAAGGAAAACGTGGAGGTCATCAAGAAAGTGGCCACCACCTCCAAGAATTTAAAGGGCGGATATGTGCGAGCCTTAAAGGACGCAGCAGAAGAGATCTCGAAGATGACGAAAGCTCTGCAAAGCAGATGCATCACGGAGGAGACCAAGGGCCTGCAGGCGGATAACGCCCGCCTACGAGCGGAGGTAGCTCAGCTACGCAAGGAGGTGGCTGAGATGAAGGCTCACCTCCTTACACCGAATGCGAGGACGGAAGCTGCCGTTGAGACCAGACATCTCGAACCACAACGGCAGCAGAAAACTGACAACGAGGATTTAGTGCGCACAATCTTGTGTCAAGTTGGCACAATGATTAACGCGAGATTCGAGGCATTACAAGATCGCCTCCTACCGGAGAAGCGCCTCCGTCCCCCGCTGGCGGCAGACAACAGGCCCGAGCTCGAGGGCAGCGGCGTTCCGGCAGCTCCAAAAGCTCCGAGCGTAGCAAAGAGCGGGCAAGCGTCGGGAAAAGCTCCAGGGAAACCTGCGGGCAAAGCCTCGAGTAAACCTGCCAAGGAGAGGACAACAGAGCCCCAGGCCCCACCCCAGGCAGCGGCAGCGGCGGAGCCTGCCGACCAAGACCAGCCCCAGGAGCAACCCTGGAGCATGGTGGTCAGGAAAGGGCTGAAGAAGAAGAAGAAGGAGCGGCCACGTGTCTTCACTAACACCGAGCTAGCAAGAGGAGCGCCAAGAACGCCAAGAGCGCCAGCGCGAACACCAGCGCCAACAGCGAGTGCACCTAAGACCGCCGCGGTGGTGGTCACCATCACGCCTGAGGCCATGGCAAATGGATTGACGTATGATGCGGTTATTGCGGAGGCTAAAGCCAAAATAAGACTGCAAGACGTGGGCATAGCAACCGGGGTACGCTTCCGGGTGTGTGCCACAGGTGCGCGGAGGTTTGAAGTCCTTGGCACAGACAACGGCTCGCTAGCTGACGCCCTAGCCGAAAGGTTGACCCAAGTCTTCAGCGGAGACTTGGTCCGTATCTCTAGGCCGGCAAAGACGACGGAGATAAAAATATCCGGGCTTGACGACTCGGCAACCGTAGAAGAGGTTCTAGCGGCGGCTGCCGAAGCAGGAGGCTGTCCTAAGGAAAGCCTCAAATGCAGCGGTGTCGTCAGAGACAGATTTGGAGTGGGACACGCCTGGGTAGAGTGTGAGGTACCAACGGCGAAGCGGGTGGCTGCAGCAGGCCGGCTTACTATATCTTGGGTGTCGGCCACCGTCACACTGCTTGAGCCGCGACCTCTGCGCTGCTACCGCTGCCTGCAGAAGGGGCATGTAAGAGCGCAATGCAGTGCAGAGGTCGACAGGAGCAAGCAGTGCTTCCGCTGTGGCAAAGAGGGCCACAACTTCAAAGGATGTCAGGCCAAACCGCACTGCTCCATCTGTGCTGAGGCCAAAAGACCGGCAGAGCACAAACTGGGAGGCAGAGGATGTTCCGCACCGGCCCCCAAAGTCACCAGAGGGAGGAAATCAACGCCGCCACAACCAGCACAACAGGCGACAGCAGAGGTTGCAATGGAGACTGACGAAGTTGGCAACAGAAATGGCTCTACAAATCATACAAGCCAACCTTAACCACTGCGCTCGAGCACAAGACCTGCTCTTACAGAGTATGGCTGAGTGGTCGACGCAGCTGGCAGTAGTGTCGGAACCATACTTCGTCCCCAACAGGGATGACTGGGTGGGTGATGAGGAGAACCTCGTAGCGCTCATCGTGCCCCGGTCCTCGAGATCCCCGTCTCTTGATGGGGTTCAAAAGGGTCGCGGATACGTGGGCGCTACAGTAGGAGGAACCATGGTCATCGGTGTATACTGTGCCCCCAGCAAAAGCCTCGCAGAGTTCGAGGGTCTTCTCGATCGTATCGGAACCCTCATTGGCAGAAATCTCCCCCATTCCGTGCTGGTAATGGGGGATTTCAATGCCAAGAGCTCTGCGTGGGGTGGTTCAACCACGAATGCTCGGGGTGCAGTGTTAGAGGAGTGGGCCGTGACCATGGGGCTTTGCCTTCTAAACAGAGGGTCGAGACCTACGTGCGTACGGCCGCAGGGTAGTTCGATCGTGGACGTATCGTTCGCCTGCCCTGCGACTGCGAGACGGGTGTACGGTTGGGAGGTAGTGGAGGGTGTGGAGACACTATCCGACCACCGTTACATCCGTCTCTCATTATCGGAGACAACATCGGTCCCAGTACATCAGGGACCGGAGTCGCTTCACCGGGACACCCCACGGTGGGTGGTGAAGCGGCTCAACACGGACGTACTATCGGAAGCTGCCCAGGTCGAAACTTGGTCGCCTGTGGACAGCTCACTGGACATCGACGAGAGGGCTGCCGCGCTGCGTGCATCGATGACTCGCGTTTGCGATGCGTCGATGCCGCGGCAAGGCCCCCCACCACGGAAGAGACAAGTGTACTGGTGGTCTGCAGACATAGCGGCAATGCGCACTGCGTGCGTGGCTGCCAGACGCCAGTACCAGAGACAACGCCGGAGAAGACAGAAGGACGCAATCGCAGAGGCTAGCCTACACAATATATACAAGGCCGCAAAATACGATCTGAGCCGCGCGATATGCGAAGCTAAGGACAAGGCACGAGAGGAGATGATAGAGACCCTAAATTTAGATCCTTGGGGTCGTCCCTATCTCATGGTGCGAGGGAAACTCAGGACGCAGGCATCGCCTCTAACACAGAGCCTCCAGCCCCAACTGGTGCGGGAAGTGGTGACGTCCCTCTTTCCCAGCGGAGTGGCACACACGCCGCCTTACAGGATTCCGAACACCAGGAATGAAAATCCTGGCTCCGTTGGGGAAGAGGTCATTCCACCGGTCACCCCCGGCGAGTTTGGGGCTGGAATTCACCGGTTACGCGCCAAAAGGACGGCGCCGGGGCCTGACGGCATACCGGGCCGGGCCTGGGTGATAGCCGCGGACGTATTCGAGGAGAGAGTGGTGGGGCTGATGAGCGATTGCCTCGCTCAAGGTCGTTTCCCACTGCTGTGGAAGAACGGCACCCTGGTCCTCCTTAAAAAGGAGGGCAGGCCTGTCGACTCTGCGGCAGCATACCGGCCGATAATTTTGCTTGACGAGGTGGCGAAGGTGTTCGAACGGATTATCGCCAACCGGTTAATTGGACACATGACGACGATCGGCCCGGACTTGGATGCCAAACAATTTGGCTTCAGGGCGGGCAGGTCGACCGTCCATGCGATAATGCGGGTGAAAGAGATAGCGGAGGAGGCAATTACCCAGGGCGACGTCGTTCTTGCGGTGTCCCTTGACATCGCAAACGCGTTTAACACCTTGCCCTGGAGTTGCATTACTGAGGCCCTCCGCTACCATCAAGTGCCGAACTATCTACAGCGTATTGTGACCGACTACCTTTCATCTAGGTCGGTCTCCTACAGAAGCAGGGACGAGTGGACTCGTCATGAGGTGACATGTGGCGTTCCGCAGGGCTCAGTCCTCGGCCCCCTTCTTTGGAATGTGGGTTACGACTGGGTGCTGCGGGGCGCCAACATCAAAGGCGTGGAGGTCACCTGCTACGCAGACGACACTCTGGTGACGGCGCGAGGAAGAACGCACCGGGAGTGTGCGATACTCGCGACGGCCGGAGTGGCCCAAGTTGTGGGCAGGACACGAGCTCTGGGTCTCGAGGTGGCCCTGCACAAATCCGAGGCCCTTTATTTCCACGGACCTCGGAGCAGGCCACCTCCGGGAGCCCACATCATAGTCGGCGGAGTGAGTATTCCAGTTAACTCACACATGAAGTATCTAGGCCTCACGCTGGATGGTCGGTGGACATTCGAGGGCCACTTCCGCCAGCTAGGCCCCAAGCTGCTGCGTACGGCCGCCGCACTCGGCAGTTTACTGCCCAATGTTGGCGGCCCCAAAGCGGCTTGTCGGCGACTTTTCACGGGCGTCGTGAAATCGATGGCGCTTTACGGCGCCCCTGTATGGAGCGGCGCCCTGAACTCCCGGACGATTGAGGTGTTGCATCGGCCACAGCGAAGCATGGCAATAAGGCTGATTCGTGGCTACCGTACAGTCTCCTATGACGCGGCCTGCACCCTGGCGGGTTCCCTGCCATGGGTGCTGGAAGCAGAGGTACTTGCGGCAGTCCACAAATGGCGTGATCAGAAATACTTTTCAGATGGAGCTCCACCCCTAAGGGTGGAGGTCGAAGCTTTTAGGAGGGAAAGGCGGGAAGCAGCGATAGCCAGTTGGCAACGTCGCCTCCGCCAGACGCGGGCTGGTGCCAGGACAATCGGGG